TTTTTCTTAAAGAAAACTATGAATTGATTTAAATAAAACTTAAGGATCCTGTAAAGACACATGTGGCTTTTATACTATGTCCTTCAGAGTCCTAGAATTCTGTAGAGGTGAGTTACAATTCAGGGAAGGTGAAGTCACCTGATCCCATACCCCTGTTCCAAATAGAGCAACTTTGCTTTTTATCTGTTCTATCAGAGTTCTTCATAACATTTCATTTGGGAGGAAGGTTTCTACTGCTGAATATAAAAATACTGAAAAAACACTATTCTATAGGATACTTGGAATTCACAAAATTATAAGCCCAGACTTTGAAAACACTCAAAAACCCAATTTTTCTCTTATCAGGTAAGAAAAGAACTACTTACTCTAAACTAAATCAGCATTGCTAAAACTTACTGGGTAACCTAGAGTATATTAATTGATTACGTGATGTTCCAGTTACTACAGCAAACACTAATAATTTCAACCAGAAGACTAAGATGAATTGGTTTACATTTCTAATCTCTACCCTGATTATTCCTCTTTCTTCTAGTTAGACCAGCTATCCCTTTCCCTTTTATAGGCTAAAAGCTTATTATCCATAATCCCTAAAGAAAAACAGTCTTTAAAATGCTAGGGTGGAGGTACAATAAAAAGAAGATTACCAAAACAGACATACCATTCAAATTGTGGTCAGTGAAAATATTTCCCAAATATTACAGAAATCCTACTTTAACTTTACCCAGAGCTGAAAAGTGCTTACAGATAAACATTATGGTTAGGCCATAGGGTAGCAGCTTAGCTACAACTCTAAAATTAAAAATAACAATGGGGGAACAGATAAGAATATTATGTAGTACAACAACTCAACAGAATATTATGTAATCAATAACTATACATATTATGAGGCAGCAGAAAAGTTTTTATGAGAACTTGAATATTATAAGGTTACAAATAATTATGTGTGCACCTATATAAACATATATATATATATATATATATATGGAATAAGATATGTAGAACTGAAGTCAAAGATCAGGATAGTGATAGTGAACAATTTCTATTTTTCTTAAAATTTTCCAAGAAGAGAGTAATAAAGGGTAAGAGAGAAGAGACATCAAGAAAGAAAATAAGGAAGATTCAAGACATAGGAATCCATACAAAGATTTAGAGAAGATCAGAGGTCCAAAGAAAGTGAGATGGGTAGAAGCCCAACAAAAGAGAGGTACAGAAACCCAGAGAAAGTGGTTGATGGAGACCCAAAGACAGGGAGTAACAGAGAGAGAGGAGAGACAAAGTTATAGAAGGAAAAGAAATCTGAAAAGAGGGGGTTACATAGACCAAGAGAGGAACAAAAACCCAGAGACAGAAAGACAGAAACCCAGAGCCTAGAATGAAAAAGGGAGAAACCCAGAAAGGGGGACAGAGACCAAAGAGAAAGGAAAAAAACCTAGAGAAAGATACTAACAGAAAATACTAAAGATAACTAACAGAAAATGATAGAGAGGGAACGAGAGTCAGGGATGATTATAGAGAATGAGAGGAAGTTTTAATTTTTTAAAACTTCCCATATACATTTGAACTCATCTACCCTGGAACCTAATCAACCCTTTCATCCCTATAATCCTGAAATACTGAATTCTTGTTTTCTCTCCCTCACAAAGCCCTCAACTCATCCCCTAATGGCCTGACTTCTCAGGCCTCCTTTTATGCTCGTGTTCTTATCAGTGATCTCCCTCCCAAAGCTTTCCCCTATGCTCTCTGAAATCCCCAAAAGAAACTTTCTGGGGCCGGCCCGGTGGTGCACTCGGTAGAGTGCTGTGCCGCTCCCGCCAAGGGTTCGAATACCATATAGAGACCGGTCCGCTCACTGGTTGAGCGTAGTGCGGGCGCAACACCGAGGGTTGCGATCCCGTTGCCGGTCGCGGTACGGGGCGACACTGAGGGTTGCGATCCCATTACTGGTCACGAAAAAAGAGAAAAAGGAAAAAAAAAAAAAAGAAAAAAAAAAAAAAAAGAAAAAAAAAAAAAAAAGAAAAAAAAAAAAAAAAGAAAAAAAAAAAAAAAAGAAAAAAAAAAAAAAAAGAAAAGAAACTTTCTGATAACCTCAATCTCTTCGTGGAGGGTTCTTTTTACTGCCTTGCCCTAGACAAAACTTGGATCTCACCCAAAGGCACTAGTTTCTCTGAAGCTCTCTCAAATGAAGACTGATCTCACCCCTCAACAAATTCTAGGAACAGAAGGCAATACGGTCAAATTGCCAGCCTTTCACTGACATGGATTCAAACAATACCCCATCTCTTCCCTCCCCAAACTCCACATGGCTACCCACCTTTTCAGTGTCATCTCTCCACTTAGAACCCACCTCCCCTTCCCACATACCACCTATAAAGTCATACATGTACCTCTACTTGCATGTCTCCAGGCATCTCAAACTACTAATTTACTGTTTCCTCCTCCAAAACTGTTCTCATATATACACACTGGCAATGTAAAATGTTTCTGCTAGAAAAATGCCTACTGAATATAGGACTGTCACATTCAGAGATAAATCATCTTTAAGAATGGTAAAAATTTCACAGATATTTAGACCCTTTAGATCCTTTTCTAAACAGCAGTGGACACTCTCAGTAACCTATCTGTGGAGAGTCAGATTTGATGATAACCAACCAGAGCTCTCAATCCCAGAGCAGAGCCTACCTTCTCCTATGGTAAGAATTGATTTATTACTTGGTCTCTTGAATGATATATTAGTCCTGCCAGAATAATTCAGAAGTGGAGATCATGAATGGGGCAAGAAGAAATTATCTTTTTGGTGGCTGGGAGATCATGGGAAGTCTTGAACATGTGTAGTTCTGCTTATCTTCAAAAAACTTTGCCTTTTTTGACAAAAAAGGATTATTTTCAGCAATATATCACAATTTTCTTTGTTTTGTTTTTAATGGAGCTATCCAACATTAAAGGTGTCTTTTTTCACTTTGGAAAATTTACAATGCTCAAGATAAAATTCAGAGATAAATAAAATATTAGAAAGTATATTTCTTTTTATAATAGGCAGAGGTTCACTGCCCTTCTGGTTAATCTGTTAATGACTTCTTGATTGCTCTTTATCTGTAAGAACATTTCAGATAAATAGAAAGCTGTGAGCAGCAGCAGGGAGGAAATCATGCTCTGGGGCAAAGATAACAACCAGTCAGTTGTCACCCCCAAGGCAGGATTAAGTCATCACAAGGGCTGACTGTAATGGGAGCTTCCCACCATACCAAAACCAGACAGGTAAGCCATTAGGTGCACTGCATTCAAAAGGTTTGATATCTTCCCTTTCTGTTCTTTAACTTCATGAGAGTTAAATGAGTAAAGCATTAGAATAGTGCCTAGCATAAAAGGAAGCTATATTAATTAAAATAAGTAATCAAGAGAAAATGTTTAGGCACTTTGTAAGGAGGTCTTTGCAAATGAATCTATATGAGGGAGTCTTCAAAAAGTTCATGGAAAGATTCATATTACCTTTTAGCTGTATTTTCCCCAAGCTTTTTGAAATACCCTCGTATAATCTAGTGGTTCATGGAACAAATAATTCTGACCTTTACTTTCCTCCCTGGCATATCATGACGTCTAGCAACTAGTAATGAAAAGACACGAGGACACAAAATTCTATTATAAGAGTTCTGTGAACATAACAGATGCTCCATAATTTTATTTGGGAAGAGACAGGAAAAAAATAAAGACATGCTAGAACAGATAAGATTAAAGGCAATAATAGGCAGTCTGGTAGGTTAAAAAAAAAGTAGCATGAACCAAGTAATTGGGTTTAGAAATAAAAGAGCTCAAATACTTATGTGGGTTTACAATCTGAGAAACAAGTGTCAGTATAGGGCCAATTTGCTGATTATGGTTGTAAAAACATATTAGCTATGACACACATGTATATACAAAACAATTATATATCTGTAGGCATGTATATCACGATCCTGGCTTAATACTTAAGTATCCTCCCATATTACAGGCTCTGTCGTGAACAAAAAATTTCTAAGTAATAATCTAAATAAAGTTTACTGGAAAACGATTAAAAGCTGTTACAGTAGAAAACAGTTATATAAAGAGAACCACGGGCTAGAAATCAAGAGGCACTACAGATCTAAGAATATTAGATATTAGATTCATGAAATCTGAAGTCCAAAATATCAAGTGAACTTATCCAAAGTCATATTTATTTAGCCAAAAAAAATCAAGTGATTTTTTTACCTGCCCTGCCCCTTCACCCCGAACTAGTGAAGGAAAAATACAAGGAAAGATCGACTCTGGGAAGAAGGAACAGTGACAGGTAAAAAGAAAAAGACCAAGGTAAAGCAGAACAAACTGCTTTTCTCTACTTCCAACTACAGTGAGTACAATGACATTAGTTATTGCCAACTCCTAAAGAGAAAGACTGGGGGTAGAGGAAGGGAGTTCACAGCACAAAGTCTTCTTTAATTATCCTTTGCTTTCACAGAATTAAATGTGAACAGATATAGTGACCAATTATAGTAAGCTCTGTAATACTATACCTTTTCCAACTTTTTCCCTGGCCAAGGATAGGTTAAACTTGCTTCCCAATGTTTAGCCCCTCATTCTGGTCCTACCAAAGTCCTCCTGCTTCCTCTTCTCTAATCAACTTCCAATTAACAAAACGGCATAATTTTCTTTCCTCCAATAAAGAGGTCAACTATCAGAGGGCTCCATAAGCACATAAGGAACACAGAAGGCTTAATAAAATATACAAATTTGTTTCAGAACTGAAGACAGATGTTCAAAACAAGAAGAAAATTCTTTAAAATTCTGTTTATTTTCTCATTAACATTTTCATGATATAACTAATGATATTCAGTGAGCACATCCTGGGCTCAGAATCTACTGGGGCCTATGTTTTGAAATTCTTACTCTCAATTAGCAAAACTATCTCACTGAGGAGGGCTGGGGTTATTTCTATAAGAATAACAAATTTATCTCAATATTCAGCACACACTTTCTGTCAGACTTACCTTCTCACCGCTTGAGTAGAAGAAATAACGCAATCGGACTATGTTACAATGATCTAGCTTTCTCATGATCTGGAGTTCTCGGTTCTGAAAAGGAAACATATACAAATATTTTTAAAGGATAACAGCTATTCATCATATTGACCAAAACACTTCTAAAATAATAGTAAACACTACAAACAGCAGGCTACATATGTTACTAAAAATACACTCTGCACACCAGTTCTGATCTACAAACTATGATACTAGTCCATGGAATTATTTGTTACTGCTCCACAATAAGATAAATATAGAATTTGAGAGAATTTGGAATCTTTTATAGCAGTTTGACAGAATGATTTATAGCTATGAATCTGATAAGAACTGGAAACCATATTTTGTATTTTTTTAAATTTCACCTTTCTAGTATTTCATTTATATTCTACTTTACAAAAATATCAGTCTTTGATGAATTGGAAACTGTAAAAATTGGTACTTTACCAGAAATAGTTTGAGAAGCACACTGGTCTATAGTACATAAGAGACACCTGAAATGAGCTGTGTAATTTTTTGCAACTATAATAATAATAAAAAAATCAAATTTCTCACCAAACAAATGATTTTGGGGTCAAAGAAAGCTCTAACAATCCTATAGTCTTCTAAGACACAATGGAAAAAAAAACTAAGAGTTAACCCCATGAAAAGGGCTCAGTTGCTAAGTTTTAGAAAGAGTTAAAACATGGCATAGTAGAAATTGCAGTCTTGGCAGACTGTATCCAAATAATTTTCTCTTTGGGAAGTTTCAAAGTTATGCTCATTCTTTATGAAAAGAAAATGCTAAATAATATGCTGATTTTTTGACACCATAAATTTCGAGGTAGTAAATTTGAATAGATTATATATTAACAAAGAAGATATATTCCAACAATATACTTGACTGTCAGAAATCCAGTTAGTAAAGGCCAAATTACAAAACACAGAATACCAAAATACCAACTATGTGCCAGAAAGTAAAGTTTTACTTAAAACAATGACTTAGAAGCACTACAAAACATGAAGAATGCACGTGGGAATCTGGAAGGTAAATGGTGTTATGGTCAGAAGAGAGACCAAAAAAGAGGGGGTTAGGGATGCAAAGGGGCCAAGGAGCCTATCCTAGAGGAGGGTGGCCTCCAGTTCTTAGAACACAGGAGCAGAGATAAGCGAATGTTCCTTTAAACTGACCTTCAGAGCCTGGGCTCATATATACAGTGATATTTATAACTCCTTTACAAGACATCAATCTTTCATTCTATTACTATTATAAAATTCTTATAAGACAAGCAACGAACAGAAAAACAGTACAATTGTGTTTACAAAGATAATAATAGATATCAGACTCAAGTTCTGACTGTTGCAGAGAGGATACAGAAAACTTACCAATTTCAAAACTGTGTCCATTTCCATTCCAAATTAAAACTATTTCTGAAGGTATTTCTATACTTGGCCAATTCACATTTAGGTAACTAGCTTTGTGAGAGATCTGCTAGTAAAGCCAAAACTTACTCCTCTCATGATATACAGTTTTTAAGATTGATTGTTTTTTAACATAGCCAACTATGTTAAAATAAATTATTTTTCCAGGCTAATTAACCAAAATAACAGAACTATTACATTCCCCGATAAGAGAAGTTCTCTCTAAGACTGTGGATACTACCTTTGATCAAAAAGAATATATAAGTGGGCCGGCCCCTTGTCTCACTCGAGAGAGTGCGGCGCTGGGAGCACTGAGGCCGCAGGTTCAGATCCTATATAGGGATGGCCGATGCGCTCACTGGCTGAGCGTGGTGCTGACCACACTGTGCCAAGGGTTGTGATCCTCTTACCAGTCATAAAAAAATAAGAATATATAAGTGAAGCAAGTACGAGACCTAAATATTCATTTACCTTTCTTTTCTGTTCATATTTTATTCCTTTAGAAAGGAGGCTTAAATTTCCTCATTTTAAAATAACCTAAAAGATCCAAAATATAAATTTCATAGAGCAATTTTTTAAGACTTATTCAAGCCAATGTTAGGCAAAGTTTAATGCCTGAGATGCACTTAAATACACAACAATTCCAATCCTAGCCATTTTTACTTAAGTCATTCTTTATTAGTGATAATGACATACCAATTCTATAGGAAACGCTGTTATTCTACAAATATAGCATACCTATTCTGTGCCAGGCACTGTTCAGTGGTAAGGATATGGCAATAAACAAGACTAACAAAGTTCTTACTCTCATGAAACTTACAGTCTATGGAGAAGAGGGAAGAATAAATAATATATGTTCATGCAAAGTAAGAAGATAGAACATGATAGTGAGAAGGGGCTATATTTTGATAAGAAGTCGGAGAAGACCTATAAAGTAGGTAAAATCTAAACAAAACCCTAATTGATACGAAGATGAGAATCATGTGAAGATCAGAGGGAAGGGCACTGTGGTCATAGGGAACTGCAGATGTAAATACCTAGAGATGAGTTTGGCATATTCTAGCAACAGCCAGAAGAATAATGTGATTGCATCATTCTGAATAAGGGGAGAGAGGTAGGAGATAAGTTCAGAAGTAGGCAGTGGCAATATTGTATAAATGTAAACTTTGACCAAGGAAATGACAAAATCTCATTTATTTTTTCAAAAGAGCATTTCAAAAGTTGAAGAGAATAACTTTAAAGGAGAAAATAGATGAAGACTTCTCTTTTCCATCTATTAAGTTTGAAATCCTTATTAGACATCCAAGTGAGGTTGAGAGCTGGGGCTGGAAAGATGCATTTAGGGGTCATCTGCACAAAAGGAATTTAAAACAAGAGGACCTGACGGTATTCCCTAGGGAAGAAATTCATACAGGGAAAAAAAAAATCATGAAATGAAAAGAAGTAAATAGAGTAGAATAGTTAATGAAGTAGAAGGAAAAACTGGAGAGAATCTTAGAAGCCAAGTAAAGAAAGAGTTTTCAGAAAAAGTGAGTGACCAGGCTGGCTGGTTAGCTTAGCTGATTACAGCACAACCTTGTAACACGAAGGTCAAGGGTTTGCTTCCCAGTACCAGTCAGCCGTCAAAAAAAAAAAGAAGGAAAGAAAAAGTGAGTGACCATTTATGTCAACAGCTGCTGAGAGACTAGGACAAAAACAGAAAACTGACGATTGATATGGCAAATGCAGGAGTTGGTGACTCTGACAAGAGCAGTTTCGGTACAACAGTAGTGAAAAACCTGATTAGATTAAATTAAAGTGGATGTAGGAGGCACAGGGCACAAAGGGGTTAGAAAGTTTAACAAGAGGAGAGATTTCCAGCTATGGTGCAATGAAGAGATCAGCTAATCCACATTCCCCCTCCACAAATCACCTATAAAGCTGAACTACATTGTAGAGCATTTCAGGGCTCTGTAAACTGATCAAAGGCAACAACAAATGAGAAGCATTTATTCACAAAAAGCTGCTAGACACTACAGCTGGGGGAAAGTAGCCTTCTTGCCAGGGGCTACCATCCCCTCACTGCCACCCAACTCAGTCAGTCAGGTAGTTTTACCAGAGCAGGTTGGTAAAACCAGGAATTTTGCTTCCAGAGAGGGTTTACCATCATGTAGGCCAGAGAGCAAAAAACTATGCGCCCCATGGCACTGGCAGTAAAAATAGCAAATTTGATAGGAAAAAATGGAGAAAAGCCCACAGTTCTGCTACACTGAGGCTGAGGAAAAAGACAGACTGGCAAGACACTCAGAAATTTAACAGGGAGATTCTGGAAGTGAGGGAGGCATAGAGGGCCTAAATAAGCTCATAGAAGGCTCATAATCAAGATGTTTGAGCACAATCTCTAACCAATATCTGTCTGACCACTAAGCTGTGTAGACAAAGGGTCAACCCCTATGAAATCAGGCTAAAAAATGAAAATTAGAATTAAAATTTTAACACAGAATTCAACAGCTTCTACCTGTTGAGGAGAAAGATTCTACAGAGATTACATCTAGATAAGTTACCTCCCCCCAAAATAATACCCCCCATAAAACCACCTCAGGAGGTTTAAAAAAAAAAATTCAGAGCCCAGAGTTGTTACAATATATTACCTAAAATGTTCAGTTTTTTAAAAAACTGTGAGACATGCAAGCAATAGGAAATGTTGACTAATACTCAGATTAAAAGAAAAAAAAAGGAGTCAACAGAAGTTCACTCTGGGTAGATGCAGCTGTTGGATTCAGCAGACAAAGAATACAAAGCAGCTATTATAATTAAGGTGAAAGAATTAAAGGAAACCATATTTAAAAAATTAAAGAACCATATGATAACAATTACACAACAAATATTAACTTTTAAAATGTGTAAATTAACTAGAGTTGAAATGTATATAATAAAAATGAAAGCTTCACTATGGGCTCAAGAAAATATTTGAGATGGCATAAAAAAAAATCAGTGAACTTGAAAACAGAAACAGAAATTATCCAACAGAAAGAACAAACAGGAAAAAAAAGATTGCAGAAAAATGAACAGAGCCTCAAAGACCCCTTACACATACCAACATATGTGTAAAGGCTGTATTGGAAAAAGAGAAAGGAAAAAAAAAGTTTGAAGAAACAATGGCTGAAAACATCCCAAATTTGATGAAAAATACTAATCTACCAAACCATGAAGTTCAATGAACCCCAAATGCAATAAAAACAGAGATCCACAACTAGGCACATCACTTTCAATCTGAAGCCACAAAGAATAATCATGAGAGTAGTTACAGAGAAATGACTCATCACATACATGAGAAAAAAAACAATGTGGTTAATGGCTGACTAATCATCAGGAAAAAATTGGAGGCCAGAAGGCAGTAAAAAAAAAATATTCAAAGCACTGAAAGAAAAAAGAAACAATTGTCAACTAAGAATGCTATTTACAACAAAACTATTCTTCAAACATGAAAGGAAAAATGAAGACATTCTCAAATTTAAAAAAAAAAAAAAAAGAAAAATATTCTGAAGTAGAAGACCTGAAAATACTAAAACAAGTCCCTCAGGTTGAAAGGAAATGAATGATACCAGATGTTAATCTGAATCCACAAGGAAAAATAAAGAGCACCAGAAATGTTAAATAAAAACGAGAAAATA